CTTGCTGCAAAGTGAGAGAAGAAAAATGAAAAGGAAACTTTAGGAAGAAGCAAAGATTACACAAAGTCCCAGGGTGACCGCGCACTATCATGGACTTGCTGGAAAAAGTTCGAGTAGGAGTCTATTTATAGGCAGAAGTTTCTACACTGTTTGGCAGGTACCATGATAAAAGTGGGACCAGTAAGGGGAATTATATAAAATTAACAAATTAATGGCAAGGAGCAAAGGAACATGGTTCAATTCTATCCTATAGTTACCATCTATTCACTAATCTCTTCTGGTCACTGCCAACCTGGAGTAGATTTGAATAATTAATCTAAGGCTATGCCTACACACTGCAAGTTTTTTCAGCAGAAAATATGCTAATGAGGGACTCATTAGCATGAGTCAGCACATCATTAGCATATTTTCTGCCGATTCTTTTTGCACAAGGGGTTTTCGCGCAAAAAGAAGCAGTGTGGCCTCTTCCGTTTTGAGCCAAAAAAAAAAAAACCCTTTTGTGCAAGATCCTTATGCCTCTCTGAGGCACTGTAGACAAACCCTAATGGTGGAAAGGCTTCTTGAACCTCACTTGCCCACCCACTCTCCAATTTGATCCAATTAAGGAAAATAAAACATTTCTATCATTCTAGATCAAAGGGCTTGGTATTACACAGCTTCCCCCCTTTCCTGAATACTGGACAGCACCCTGATGTTGGGAACACAAACAGTAAGTAAACAATACAGGATTCATGCAAGAGGCCTGCTCTGCACAAGAAAATTAAGCCATTTTAACTCAGCAGCACAGTTAAACCAACTGTGTAGACGGTGCTAGTTCCAGGAAAGCATTCTTCCATGAACATAGCTACCACCTCTCAGGGAGGTGTATTAATTACAGTGATGGTGGAATCCATCCTGCGTCTACTCTGAAACTAGTGGCACTGCTAAGTGGCACCAACAAAGCCCCCCATTGTCCATGTAATATTTTTAAAGAAAAAAAAATGGCTTGAGATTTATCTTCTGCATACTCCATATGGGCCAGGGCTATGGTAACTTCCACAGACAGCACGGCTTAGAATCAGGGCAGGATCTCGTCTTCCTTGGGCAGCTCCATAACAGCCTGTCTGTGGCTATTTTTTTCTGGTTCTCTTTGTGGGAAGGCCCAGCTTATTGACACCAACATTCTCCCCACAGACTGCTCAACACAGCAAAAGTGGCTTAAGCTCTGCATATAGCTAGATTCACTGTATCCAACTGCTGAAAGCTAAGGGTGGGATTTTCAGAAGTGAGAGACACTGATCCAACTGCTCCCACTGAAGCCAATGATAAAATTCCCACTGACTTTAGCAGGAATACTTAGACCAATGCTGGGTGCCTCTGAAAACCTCAGACATGGATTATAACAAGGAGCCTCATGATTTACCTGGATGAAATAATAGAGGGATTTTCCATATTTCCTCTTGAATTCACTCTTAATTTTCAGCATATCAACCTCCGAGCGGGAGACCATAATCCTGATCAGGATCTTATCACGGGTTCCTTTGCCCTAAAAGCAAATTTACATTGAGAGCTGTAGTATGGCGAAGTGAAAAAACGAGAGAACCAGTGTAATGTAAGAAGGAAGAAACTCTACTGATGAGCTGTACTTTGCCACAGGGACATAAGAACGGCCATATTGGGCCAGACCAAAGGTCCATCTAGCCCAGTATCCTGTCTGCTGACAGTGGCCAAAACCAGATGTCCCAGAGGGAGGGATCACAACAGGTAATCCTCCTGTGATCTCTCCCGACATCCACCTCCAGAGAAAGAGGCCAGGGATACTATTCCTGCCCATCCTGGCTAATAGCCATTGATGGACCTAACCTCCATGAACTTCTTTCTGCATTCAAAGTCCTCCTAAAAACCTGAGAAACGAGCTTATTTTCCAAACAATACTCTCCACCACCTGACAAGAGACTATATTTCAGTGCAGCAATTAAAAACAAAATTAGCCTCTGAAGGGCAACCTTCCCTCAGCCCAAGTTTTAACTATTTTATGTTACTGCTCAGTCTGAAACCTAACTATTTGTAAGTGTTCCATTAAATCAATTTAAAGCACATGGGTCTGAGAGTCTGAAGGTTCAATCACCAGTTCAAAGAGGCTCATCACTAATGTATTTGGTATCTGGAAGGTTTCACTCAGACTTGCTTAACAATCCTCTCTCTAGGTAACAGAATGTTTATATATTTTATAATAATCTTTCGCTTCTTTTAATCAATCTTGTTTCATACTTGGGACCTTTTCTACAGTCTGGCGACTGAACTGGGACACAAGGTGATCTTACATGTGCCCTAAAACAATTTCTTGTGACTTGTGTTGGTTCATTGCCTGTATTTTCACACCCCAGAATTCTGGTATTCACCAGGTTGCAGTCGTGCACTTTGCAAAGTTTTCATTATTCCATTCCTACACTCACTTTCTCTTGCTATGTATGTTGTGTATGGAATCTCTCTGACTCCTACCCATGGGCCAGATACATTTCTCATTCACTTCGATGGAAGTCAGAGTAGGCTAGAGCTTGAACTTAGTTTGAGTGTCAGGCTTTGTTCTAACTGCTCATCAGTGCTCCCAGCTTATCTAAGTCAGTCTAGCTTTTTGTCACTTTCCTCTACTTTAATTGGTGCTTACCCCGGAAACACCAGACTAAGTTTATTCTAGAAAAAAGTGAACACTAATATTTCATCAAGGTCTATATTCCTGGCCTAAGGAAAAACGTGCACGTGAGAGACTGGTGCGGAAAAACTGATAGTCACCACTGCTCTGCACTTTTAAGTAACAATTGTAGGGGCTTCTATTATAATTCTTTGTGTTCTACTTTTGCAAGCAGGTGCCATTAATCTATTTTTGCATCAAATGTCTCCTGACATCATTGATTAGGATACATTAGGCTAATTTCTCTATGCATAGAATTTAAAGCCTTCTTTTGCAGAAAGCTGGCCATGATGCCATCATTAGGTATTCCAGTGCCATCTAAACAATCACAGATTTCATGCAGACTAAAGATCAAAAGGTAGTTGACTACAAAGATGTACAAAAAATTCAGTACAAGGAAATAAGGCCTTCTTCAGTCCACCTTACCTTCATGGAGTCGTACAATCGATCAGCAAAATACAGCTGCTTGTTCTGAATGCACTGGACTGCAAAGTGAAGAACATAATATTAGTTAAGTATACTGCAGACAGTCAGATCAGCAAACTAAAATGACTTAGACTCCTTCTTTATAGATCTGATCGCTGAACTAGGAAAGGGTTTTCAAGATCTGATTGCTGAACTAAGAGAGGATTTTCCCACCCCCCCAAAAAAACAAACCAACCAACAAAAACCTTAAGGACAAATGATCTGTGCCTGAAACATTTACTACCTAGAAGCTAATATGTTTAAGTAACTGTACCAAGGAAGGTTTGCAATTTAACCATAAGTCCTTAAAAATCAAATAAAATATTTTCTTTCCTTCAATTGCCATCTTATCTCATTATGGCCCGTCCCCCCCAGGTTTCAGTCTTTGATCCATACTCATCTTAATACATTCTGATCACATTCTTTGAGAATGCAAATGCAGATGACACAAATAGATTTCCTCTTCATGGTTTTGGCTTCTCTAAATTTGTCTTAAACAAGAACCTGGCTCTACCATAATTTCTATCAATTCGGTGCATCTGAAATGAATAACCCCCTACAATAACGTCCCTCCACCAAATGTCACCACAATGGACTCTACAGCCTCCTGAGGTCTATGATTCTATGATTACTCTCATTCCACAACCCAGATCTCACATTCGCCCTTGTGTTGCCATTCATTTCACAGAATACAGTCTCAAATCAACCTCCGTTTTCTAGTCTCCAGAAGCCTTAGACTGGCTTCAACCCAACACACACATACGTACATACGCCCTTCCAGCCACCAACCCTCTACAGTCTTTTTAAACTTTTCAGGTTTCCAAAGAGGAAATCACAAGCAAATATTTAATGCCTCAGATTGGAGCTGTAATAGCCCTTTTTACGAACAGCTGGAAGAACAACTGTTTCCATTGAAGATTATAAACTGGAGATGAACTCACAGCAAATCATCCACTTTGGGGAATGAAGCTGACTTTTACCACAGGGCAGTAAATCACTCACTAAACTCCTCCCACTTCAGATTAAAATAATAAAATACACTGACTGATCCCGCACTGACAGCGCTCCGAGCTTCTCCAGGATCCTCAAATTGGTCTTGAAACAGCCGGGCTCTGCCTCGTCTCAGCAAGTATAATGTGAGAGCACTTCCATTCTTAATAACCTTAACAATGGTTTTCTTACCAAGATTAAGGAAGGCATTTTCCAGGTCTCCCTTGACCTCCTTCTTGATGCTCTCCAGCATATCATAAGGGCTATAGCTCTTGTACCTCTCAAACACTATAGTGAGGAAGAAAATAATTAAAGAACAGAAGTGCACCTGAGTTGTACACACAAATTCAAGGGGGAAGAAAGATAATGTGCATAAAAACCTGCATAATACAACTAGAAAGGGGCCAGGGACATTAAGAAATCTGACCACCAATATCTTGATCGTATGCTACTTCATTTTGATTGCCATGAATATTTAAGGAAGTTCTCGATTCATCAATGATTTGGGAAAATGTCACCACGTATTGGTTTTCTCACTATGATATAGGAAAAATTATTGTGACAGATTGCCCATTAGACACATATTGGGTCCATCTGCTCTACTTCACACTGTGGCATTTATGCCCTCAGAAATAAAACTCTTAAAGGAATTTCCTGGACAGTTGTTATGTGAAAACATCAGAGGCCACTCCTAGGGCCCACTGACAGAAACGTTACATGTGTGATGTTCGCATATGGAAAGGATACGCTTAAATGGTTCCAGGAGCGAATTTAGAGAACATTCCCGAAAGTGCTGCTTTTGGGCGTGTATACGTATGTTCGAATCGGTGGACTAACATATTTACTCTACAGACACAAATGCATTTCTTTTCAAATAGTCATGCTTCAGCAGATACACTTTCCACAAACATCTCCCTGTTTCTGGGTTCTTGCTTGATTTAATCATTATTGCAACCACGCAATGACCATCTCCTAACTCCCTCTTCTCGATTTTTTTATTTTCAGCAGTACCTTTCTGGAGGTGGGGGATGCTCCTTTCAGTCATAATATTGATCCACTTAGGAACATCAGTTCCCTTCCTCTTCACACCAGCGTCATAGAGGTCCTGTGGTTAGATGAAAAGTCCTATTTTAGTCACCCAGGGTAAAATGAAGGAGCCACTGCAAAGCTATAGGATATTTCAGAAGAAAAGTCCTACTTGAGCCAAACCAGAGGGAAATGTTAAATATAGACACATACGTAACCTAACCACTGAGGGGGATGCGTACAGAACCATGGATTTATAGACCTGATTCTCGACTAACAAGGTTTAATTGCTATAATTCCATTGGCTTCGGTGAAGATACTCTTGACCTCCCAAAGAATAGTCAGGTCTTGGGTTTAAATGGTGACAGGAACAGTTTCATAAAACTGTTAATACATTTAAATCTTTACTAGGGAGCTGTGCCACCTACTCGCTACGCTCACCAACCCTCCTCTCATGCGGGGTAGCCAACCCCACCCCACCCCCCGCCACCAGGGAGGGGCAGGCTGCCGCCACACCAGCCCAGGACCCTTCTCCTTCCCCAACTCCCACCCCCACCCCCCCCAGCTACCTCAGCTGGGCCCTCTCTCTCTTCCCTCCCTCCCGGCTGCAGCCTAACCCTAACCCCGCCCCCCAGGCGAAGCCGTACCAGGCCTGGCTCTGTGGCTGGAGAAGGCTGGGCCAAGGTGTGCCAGGACATGCCAGACTCTGCTCCCGGCTGCCGGGCAGGGCCAAGGCCATGCCAGTCCTGGCTCCCCCATCCCAGACAAGTCCCAGGCCCTGCCAGACCCAGCTCTGCCCTTGGCCTCAGCAGCCCAGACTCTCTCCCTGCCTGGCCACAGGGGGCTGGGCCAGGTCGAAGGCACAGCCAGGCCCAGCTCTCTCCCCACAGCTGCCAGGGGGTTGTGCCACTCCCCCCATCCAAGCACGGGGGAGGGAGGAAGGCCGCATCGCTTGCAGCTCCCATCCAAGCACGGGGGAGGAAGGGGCCACGTGGCTGCCAGTTCCACATGGGGAGGCCACATGGCTGAGGGAGGGGCTGCGGGACACAGAGTAATGCATGACGTCACTCTGTTGTCTCACAGGAAGAGGTTTTTTTAGAGAGAGAGAGAGAGAGAGAGAGAGAGAGAGACAAGAAAAGACTTCTCCATATTCTCTCTTGGAATCATCTGGGCACTATCATTTCTCAGTCTCGGCAGAGGATCATTACCCTGTTATGCAACTCCACTAGGAAGTCTCTTTATCAAGGAAGCAATAGGACAGCTATGTATGGTACTGGTGGGAAAGGGAGCCCCGGTATGGAAAGGGCTGAGCTCATGATCCTAAGTGCAACATGCTGAAACCAATGTTATCTGCCTAATCTGCTAGGGAACGTATGCGCACGCTCTCGGTGTGAAAAAGGAAGCAGCATTTCGCAGAGGATCATTACCCTGTTATGCAACTCCACTAGGAAGTCTCTTTATCAAGGAAGCAATAGGACAGCTATGTATGGTACAGGTGGGAAAGGGAGCCCTGGTATGGAAAGGGCTGAGCTCACGATCCTACGTGCAACATGCTGAAACCAATGTTATCTGCCTAATCTGCTAGGGAACGTATGCGCACGCTCTCGGTGTGAAAAAGGAAGCAGCATTTCTACTCTCTATTCAGAGTTTTCTGACATGTATTTTCAGATGGAGCACATTTTGGACAGTTCAGTTACCACTGGCCCTCAGCACTTACCCTGGCATCCATGTCAATCAACTCATAATCAATCACAGAGGTGTCCTCAGATCTTTTACCCTTCAAACAAGAAGAATAAACATTAAGCAGATGTATCCGAATTCAAAGAGTGGAAGCTGCTATCTACGTGGGTTTGTTTCAGTTCATGTCAGCCAACGTTTCCCAAATGAGCATAACAGCATGTTCCAGCTCCATTACAAAGCTCTGTTGTGCTTGTTACTCTCATCAACCTGCATGGTCATTCAGCATCTGCAGAGTGCGCTTTCAATCAGTCAGCTGTGCAGGGACAATGCACACGAATCCAAACTGGGTATCAGTCAGGGGACTGGATTTCTAGGCAATTGCTCATCACAGTCAATGTAAATAGCTGCCACCACAGGTGAGCAGACTGAGAAACATGATAGAATTAAGGAAAGCTAGACACTGACAGAACTGTCCCGTCCATGGGACAATTTGGGGCAGTTGCCTGGAGCCCCACGCTTTGGAGGCCCCCCCTGGCAATCACCCCAACCATCCTATAGACGGGACAGTCCCCCATCTTGATATTAGTCTGGGGGGGGGGCAAGGACAACCTGGGGAATTACTCAGGGGCCAGCATTAGGGGGCAGGCCACCTGAGGCAGGAGGCACAGCAAGGGGAGCTGCTCCACTGCCATCTCCCAGCTGAGTCACTCCACTTCCCCAGGGCAGCAGGGAGCTAAGCGCCCTGGCTGGGAGATGGGCAACAAAGCGGCACAGGCTGCTGGGTCACTCAGCTTTCTGCAGCTCTCACTGCCATAGTGAGTGAAGGGGGCCCCGATCCCGCTACTGCCCCTCACCAGGCACCCCAGTAATCCCCCAGATTAAATCACTGGGGTGGGAGCTTCAGGGAAGTGGTGCAATGGGAGCAGGAAGGAGTAGAGCAGGGGCAGAGTCTGAGGCAGGATTGCCCCAGGCTCCACCCTCACCTCACAGACTCAGAATAGCTTTACCTTTGCCAGGGAAACCATCAGCTTGCGGAAGTCGCCAGAGGTGTCAGAGATAATGTCCTTTTCCAGTTCTGTTTTGTACACTAGAAAACAGCAAATACTTTTCTATTTACTGCTGACCCACTGAAATTACTCCATACCTCATCACGGTCAACTGGAGGGGTGGCATCTGCAAGTTACTTTAGATACTGTTATGGGAAGACAAATAGGAACCACCAGCTAATCTATTAAAACAGTGTAACAGGCTGGATCACGGGTAGCCCTGCTCATATCCCTAAGGCAGGCAAGGCTCTACCATCCAGGTGTGCATTGCTAGCCGTTATTACAATCACAAGACCAAGGCTCTTGCATGTTTCATTACAGAAGATCCAGATTACCAAGCCCTGATTTTTTTAGACTGTTTGCAGCTAATAGACAATTTTATACAACATGACTATAGTTTAAATATGTATGCCTAAATACAGGAGTGCTTTCTTATCAGAGTATCAATTTTCTGCATTGCTACAAGACTGCTCCTTTCCCTCTGGAGTTCTATCGCTATCTCTCTCTGGATTGTACCATCTACAGGCTTTCATCCAATTCCTCGCTATAATAATTGTTTTCATCTTACGCCATTAACACTCAGCTATTTTTGTTCATACTGTATTGATTTTGCCATTGCTACTTTACAGAATTGTTTGCAGCTATCAAATATATCAGTATTTTCTCCAATTAAAGCTAAATAAGACACTTGTAGTTACCTGTGAACACACTGAACACCTTTGTGATGAATGTGATTTGAAACATGAAAGGGTCATAACAAATCTTAAGGAATACTATTTGATACTGAACTCACGTTCAAATCACTGTTAAATCCTGTTACCATCAACTGAAAAATACAGCTAGGAATGGGTAATATCCTACAGCAAAGTGTAAAAAAAAATCCATGCTTTTATCAAGTCTTGTCCAGATCTGCATGCCTTTTTTGGCAGCTCTATCAATTAAGGTGATAAAAAGGCTTCTTCAGTAGTTTCCAAAATCAGCTGCTCAACATGGACAGAATCTATGAGCAGTTTTTTGCTTTCGCTTACTCCAACTCTGTCTTTCTTATAATAGAAGCAGAAAACAGACTAGTGCTGCTGTTTTCACAGGAAACAAATTATTGGAAGATGCCCCCCATATTTGTTTACTACAAGACCTGCAGTTGATTCCAAGGCACCAAACCCTGAGATACAAATTTCTGACTCAATGGAGAATGCTTCTGGGATTCAAGTTAATTTCAAGATACAAAAATTAAGTAAAAACAACATTTGAAAGGCACAATTGCACAGTACCTTAATCTATGCAGATTTGGTTATTAAGAAGGGATGACAGTGGGTAAAATCCTGGGTTCTAAAGACAACAGTGTTGGCAGTATTTCACCCTAGAACATCTCCAATATCCAAGGGTCCATCAATCATAAGGAATTATACACAATTACACTGAAAACTTCAGTTATGCCAGCATAAATACCTTTGCCTGTAGTATCTGACCAAATCAACAGGGATAATGAGAGCCCCCAGGAAGGCCAGTGGTTAAAAAAAGTCTTCCAAATTTTCCCATCACTCATCCAAAAGGAGAAAATGGGAGGGCCTAAGTCTGCTGTGTTGAAAACACTAAGGGTGTGTCTAGACTACAGGGTTTTTTCTTTAAAAAAAAAAAGTGACCTTTTTCAAAAAACTTCACCTGTGTCTAGACTGCTGCCGTGTTCTTTCGAAATTAAATCGAAAGAACATGGCGGTTTTTTCAACTGCGGAAAAACCTCACTCTACAAGGAATAATGCCTTTTCTCGAAAAAAGGCGTTATTGAACACAATCAGTGCTTTTTCGAAAGAGAGCATCCAGACTGCCTGGGTTCTCTCTTGCGAAAATGCGGCTCTCTTTTTTGAAAATACTGGTTGCTGTCTAGACGATCTCTGTCTAGACGATCTCAGCTTTCGAAAAAGCCTATTTCAAAAGAGGCTTGTAGTCTAGACATAGCCCAAGAAAATACTTACTTTCCCTGTAGACTTTATTAATTTCACAGAGCTCCTGGTTTGTCCTGGAGCAGATGATCTCAATGAGAGTATCTTCATCAGTTCCCAAGCCCTAAAAAACAGGTCAAGTTTCCATCAGACACTAAAAAAGGCCAGCCTGAAAGAATGGTTCTGAAACATTTGGCACACACTTTGGTGGTATTCTTTTCACTCAATCTTAGATAACACTCCCTTCCCCACGCAGACATAAAAGTGTTAAGCTGGTATTTTTGCCAATGATATTGACCCTGGTGCTAATGGCTGAGCCTCTTTCTTCTTGTTAACTAGTTTGCTACTGGGTTAGTGACACAGCATAGAAAGCAATGTGAAAATGAATGCTACCCAATATCTCAGTTGTGACAAGCCAGCATTTCTCTATTAGAATCTTCAACTGGCATGGCTGAGTACTGATTTACTGGGAGCAGGCACCCACCCAATGCTAAAAATCTCCCTTGAAAACACATAAAGGGTTTGTCACAGTGCATGGGAGGCCACTACCAAATTGAACTCTACCTTCCATACAATCACATAGTGGAATTTTACCTAATTTTATATGTACAGGCAAATCACTACAGTCTAGCACAAAGCACAGAGGGCCGGAGTTCTTCCTCTGTCAATGACTAGCTGTTCAACCTTTGGGGAAAAAAATCACTTTGATCCTCAGTTTACCTCAATAGCAAATGGGACTAACAGTACTATTTATCAATCATGTAGGCTGCCGTGAGGCTGACATACTTTTTTTTTAAAAGGACTTTTAAAAAGCCAAAGATAAGCTGTGTTTGAGTGCCAAGTATTAGTCTAATAACCTTGCAATACTGATAAAGATATCAGTGGTAAACCACAAGCTGGGAGTATTTCAACACTGCTTTAACCATCTCACTGAGTTTCAAAGAACATAAGAATGGCCATTTTGCATCAGACAAAAGGTCCATCTAGCCCAGTATCTTGTCTGCCGACAGTGGCCAATGTCAAGTGCCCCAGAGGGAGGGAACACAACAGATAATCCTCACGAGATCCCTCCCATCGCCCATTTACTGACAAACAGAGGCTAGGGACACCATTTCTAGATGAGGCCAACGTGTCAATAGCAACCTGTCTGTTTAGTGCACTGGATCAAAAACTTTACCCCTTCATGTTGGGCGCCGACCCGGTCTCTTGTACACAGACAATCCTTGCCAGTCATTTAGCAAAGCTACTTAAACATAAGACTTGGGGTAATATGAACTCAGAGGCCAGCACCTTTCATACTCCTAATCCAGCAAAGCATTTAAGTAAATTCTTGACTTAAGGCATGTGAATATTCTCTGCTTGATTTTTCATTTAAAAGAAAAATGCTGTTTGTATTCGTTTCTTTAACTGTTAAAGGTATGTGTTTCAGAACAGGTCCTACCAAAAATAACAGTATCTCTTATTTTATGCCCCTGATCAAGAAAAGCACTTCAGTACATGCTTTACTTGACATGAATGGAGCTATTCATGTGTTTAAAGTTAAGCTCATCTTTAAGAGCACTGCAGAATCAGCATACCTAAAGTAAGGAACATTATAATTTTCAAGAGGAATTGTTTATTTCAAATGAAAAATACCTTTTAACCATCAGATAATAATCCAAATAAAGATAGCCTCACCTCTACTTAGCTTTGTTAAAATAAAAAAATTGAGATTAACATTTTATACCCACAAAGAATGTTATGGCTCTTACATATTCTTTAGCTATTTTACAAGAGCAGAAATCAATACAGTAACCCAAAATTTAGAGGGATCTGGCAGTATTATTACCCATGTTAATACTAAGAAATAAAAGTGTCTTTAGCATGATAGACTAAATATTCAGATGAACAGACACATTTTGAACAAGCTGTATGTACTGAAAGGACATGATAAAATATGTATTGCAAAGTCTGATTTTGTGATCAAAGTGAAGATGTAATAATCAGGTTTCTATATTACTTGCCTTTCTGTAGAGCGACAGTAAAAACTAAACATAGCAACACTACTTTGAACTACAATGAATTACAATGGATTAAAATAGAAATCAAATATTGTTAATACAAACAGAAAATTACTAACCCCTATGAAAAGGTGTCAGGTGATAATTAAACCCTATAGGAGTTCAGATGCTCCAAAACAGTGTAGTTCAATCAATGTGCTCCTATCCTCAGGTACTGGTCAATTGTTTATTTCAAAGTTTTATTATGAAAAAGAGGAGAAGTTATTTCATGAGCCCATTCCTTTTCCTGAAGGGGTTTTACCCAAGATTTAATGAGGCTTTGTATTTGAAAAGCCAAAAAAACCCACCTCCCAAATTCCTAACTTTATCAAGGAAAAACATGTCATCAGCAAGACAGAAGTCATGTAGGTTACTTTTCTTATAGATGGTAAAAACGATACTCAATTCTGCTTTATGTTGAAAGTAAAACGATGGGGAAAGCTTTCCATAACATATCCATACAGCTTTACTGAATTAAAATATAATCTTAGGGTCTAATCGTAAAACATACTTCTAGGTAAGGCTACAAAATTAAACCTTAAGGCCTGGTAAATTCTTACTAACAAGGACTTGGTGTGACTTCAGGCTTTTTAGATCCATTCATGATTCCTATAAATTGAGCAACTTTTCTACCTTGTGAGGTACACTGCTTCCAACAACAACGGATTAAAAACAAACAAAAAAGCCCAATTGCGCCTTTGTTTTGTGCGCTCCAGTCCTCTGGTGGGGCAGCAGGTGTACTAGAGTGTCCAGCCCCCGGGTATCAGGCATTGGATCAGTGGAAGAGGTGAACATAAGGAGCTGATGAGGATAAATACTTTGTCACCAGCTGGAAGTATAACTGCACAATGCCACCAGCAATGGTTCTGCTGTGAGCTTTGCAGCCTGGTCTTCTAAATACAAATACAGTACTGCATCAGTGAGTGTCCATAAGCACAGACATATAAATAATGAGAAGACAAAATGATAAACAAAAGTCTATATAATCTAGAACAGTGTTTCTCAACCAGTAGTATGAGTATTCTCAGGGGTACTTGAGAGAAGTCTGGGGGATACCTCAACACAACTGAAATTTGGAGAAAGCTGACTTTTTGTACTTTTTACACCCCAAAATTTCACCACCTGCCCGGCTACGATTAATTTGTTTAAACAGATGTGTTGCAATGGTAGAAAAAAATTGTGTGCGTCTGAAAACTGTAGGTACTGGGGGTACTTATACGTTTTTTTGAAAAACGAGTACTTTATAAAAAAGGTTGAGAAACACTGATCTAGAATAAAACATACTGTATCTGTTTCAGTCAGCAGAGGGCAGCATTTGATTGTTCAAAAGAACCAAATTTGCCTAGGAATTATTAAATGGTTTTGTACCCTTTCTATGAGCTAGGCTGTCTAACTGTTTTGTTTCTTGCTCCCAACTTTAATACAAATTCTTCACACAAATATTTATTTTAAATTAATTAAAAAATTAACACACCATGGAATATCAAAAATGTAAGTGAGAAGGTGGATGATGAGGTAGTGTCTTTTACTGGACCAACTTCCGCTTGGCGAGAGAGAAGCTTTTGAGCCACACAGAGCTCTTCCTCAGGTCTGGGAAAGAGACTCCCAGCAAGGGAAGGGGCCACTCAACCATAAATGGTCCTTTACAATGTGTGCTAACCACTTACACTTAACCATCTTTACGCCTTGCATTTTGCTGTGATGCTGGGAGCTCCTTTCCCAGACTTGAAGAAAAGTTCTGGTAGCTCCAAAGCTTGCTGCTTACACCAACAGAAGTTGTCCAACAACCAACATTACCTGATCCACCGCATCACTCAAACATCCTGGGACTGACACAGCTGCAAGACCACAGCATACAAAATGCTGAGTGAAATATGAAACCCAAACTATGAGTTGTCTTGTAGGATTTTAAAAGCAAATCCTGGCACTGGTAGGTGTTCACAGTTTTGTATGCGCATAGTTAGTCAGTTTTCAAAGGCATCTTTTCACAGGCTCCTTGGGAAATCTGCCTTATGCACCTTCTTGTATTCAGATTCCAGGATGGGAAAGGATTAGGTGAGTCACGCTCTCACAATCAGTGGTGTGACCCAGTAAGTGGATATGATTTATGTTTTATCACAGGAATTTTCAGCTCCAGCTAACAATTCCACTACTTCATTTTAAGACTGTAAACACCTTTTTCTTTTAATGCAGAAATGCAATCAGGAAACTAATTTGTTTTCCCAGTGCTCTTATACAGGTTGCTATGCAAAGCAGCTGATCAATTATGGACTTAACTCTCTTTTCATTTTTCCATGTTATTTTTAAAAAGTGACAAAATTTAGGCTTGAGAATTCAACAAGTGGATACTGGTTCGGAGTGCTTTACATTGCACACGTGAAAACTGTAGCACTTAAAAATACGTGGCCATTTTAAAAAAAATCATGGCCTCGAGTAGTAATTCTAAAGGATGGCATCAGACTTGGAGAGACTTTAATTTCAGTCCTCATTTACCTTCATGGCAGCTTTCAGTTCAGAAGCATCATACTGAGCCGGTGTCTTCAACAGGCCCAAAATAACTGTCTCCAGGTGACCTGATAAAGCTGACTTCAATGATGCAGAAAGGTCCTTAAAAAAAAGGTAAAAATGATTAAAGCTTATTTTTTACCTCCAGTCAATTCTGTCTTCAGTGGTTGGAAAGACGGTCCCTGCTTTACCTGGAGAGTGGACAAGGAAACAGAAGGCAGGCTATTTCTACAGAGAAATCTAGAAAGGAAGATGGGACAAGCGGCGTCTCCTTCACCCCTTTAAAGGAAATGATCATCAATCTGTTTACAGCCTAAGTCCCCAACCCTCAATGTGTCAGAGAAAAATAGAGGCAGATAGGATGTGTTGACAATCCAGGAGCTAAAGTTTAGAGTTCACATTATCTTAGGAGTTTCAGGTCTTATTTCAATTACACATACTAATTGCCCTGCCACGCAGGCAAGAAACACCAAATCTTTATCATCCGTTTTGGATCCACACTCAGTCAGTAACCTCCTTAATTTGGACCTTTCAAAGGACACAGTGGGGTTCGTTGCTGCTGTTAAGAGTTCTCATCTGAATGAGTTGTGGTAAAAAGGAAACAAAAGAAAAGCCACTATGATCTCCACCAAGTGCTGAAGAAGCTCAGCTCAGGAGTCAGAAAGAGCCAACTTCCAGGTCTGCTGATTTGTCTCTTAAAGGAACCCATTACACCAATCACTCAAAACATGTTCTCATGCTTAGTTGTAGTTACTCTGTCCCAGAGCTGGCTCCTTAAAGCAAACTGGGACCCGGTGAGTAAATCAGCAGCAAGTGAGTAAATCAGCAGCAAGGGCAAGAGCTACATGAAACAAGTTGGGGAACAACGTAAGAGGCAAGGGTTCCAGAGCTTGCTCTGGTCAGATAATAACCCCAACTCTTTATTTAGGTGTTAAGTTTCTGATTTTTATGTTTTGAGACTAAAACTGCACTCTGAAGGAAAGACCTGAGCAGGCTCTGGGGGTAGTCTGGGGCTGGGAGAGACAGACCAGACGTCCTACACTCGGAAAGCTGACCAACAACAGAATCATCAACAGGAGTCTTTAGGATGTTCTTTCCCCTTCAGTCTGACGAGTATGTAACTCCACTAGCCATAGTTGAAGTGCACTGTTTCATTGTGTGCATGTGAAAATAACTCTTTCAGGCTTCCGATTAAATGGTACAGACAATGCACTCTAATCAATTCCAGTATTGGACAATCAATTTTAATTAGCGTTGTGCAATGTCTAATCTTTGCACTTGCGTGTAAAGATTAAAAAGCACACAAACCAATGCCATGGAATTAAAACCAAGAGTTTAATTCACATGAGTTTGGGAGTATAAACTTCTTTCCTCATTTCATCTGCTTTCCAGCTTTGGGCTTGTCTATATGGCACTAGCAAAGCACGCGAGAAGGATACGACTTGTAAACTACTCCAACTTCCCCATGTAGACACTGCAGGTGCACTCTAAAAGGCCATGCTGGTGGACTTCTGTTCCAAACAGAATTACATTAACACAAACAAGGTACTTCTTAGAGCACACCAGCAGGGGTCAACCCAGGGCAGCTAAAAACATCCTTCCAGTTTGCTTTGTTGCACCATGTAAACGTGCCCTCAGTTTCCTTTAAACACATTTCTGCATCAGCGTTGGAAGCAACAAGCCAGGCACAATTCTGATGTAACACTGACTAGTGAAGTGCATGTCAGTGCTCCGATAGGGAGCAGAGTTTAGTGCATTCCCCTTTCATTTTATAGCTCTTCTGTCTAAAAGTGTGCATGTAAACATCTTACAGCCATGTTACTGAGAGCTCCAGTCAAGTGCAATGGATGGCATAGCCCTGCACAGGCCGTCCTTACCAGAGTAAGTGTTGTGAGCATCATGGCTAGATATATGAAGCAGCTGGGACTAATTCTGTCGTAAGTGAAGCCCCTTAATCTGATGTAGAGAGAAATATCAATAATGTTTTGTGCTGCTTACACAGGGAGCTTCATTCAGTGCCACATTTCCTGACCAGCTGGGTTCAGGAAAACAGAGCTTTTAGCTCACCATGAGTCTGGTATGAAGCCAGAAAATTCCTTTTCCAGAAAAAGCCCGTGTGTTACACTCACTGTTGGTGCCAGTTTTAATGAGTTTACAGGGTCTGTGGTCTGTCCCCAGGGGTCTCAGCTAGCTGTTCATCACAGAGCCTTTAGAACAGGACAAGTGTTCATTCACCTGAGCCCAAGGTACATTAGTACAGCTCTGGTTTATGGTAAAAGGCTTACGGCAGAGCAGGGAATTTGTCGGTCTACCTTCTTCTTTCTAACTGCAGTGATGGAATTGCAGAGAGGCAGTGGCAAAGTCTGCCGGCAACAGCATGATCCCCATGTGAAGTTCCTTGCTGTCATTCTCTGCAACCAGCAGAAGTGAATCCCAAGGGAAACGCTGGAGCAAACACTTGCAAAGCCGCTCATTAATTAAACCTCATCTTTACAATCAGCCAAAATGTTCCAAATGAAAATTACAACATGGCAGCACAATCCCAAACAACTCTTGGTGAATGGACTCCCGAGAGGGTTGCACTGGGCAGAGGCTGGCTAGAAGTTTGCAGAGCTCCGAGAACAAATGTACACAGACAAAGTCCGAGGCTGCCTTTGATAACTCCTATAACATCTGGAGAGGGAGGGTTTGAGATTTCATGAATGGGAAGGGAGGTGGGATCATGAGACACACCCTTTAAAACAAAAAGGATCGGTGCTGTAAGCAGTAAGACGCAGCATGCATAATGTACCAACTCATCTGAGGAGAGACTCTAATTGAGCAATTTAAGTGTCTCCAAGGAAATCCACAAAAGAATATCTCTGAACAGCATTGGCTGGGTAAGTCCTGAATCATCAGCCAGGATGTGCTGTTTCCTGCCCTCATGAAACTTACTCATTTGTTTTTACAGTTGTATTGGAAGATTTGTTCTCTTAGTTTCCACTTTTTCCACAGGCCACTTTACCTTTGGCAGCTATACAATCCCATATTTCAACTGGTATCTTTAGAATGCCTATGAGTTGGAATAAGGGAGGAACATAAGTGAAGGGAGTCAACAGCTACATAAAAATTCTGAAGATCATTTTAATGATTTCAGAACTTTGCCATCTTTTTAACAGAGCTGCAAGTCTGACTATTCATGGTCTAGCTTATAACCACAGCTATCATGATGCCCTTGCACAAGATGGGGGTACACTCAGCTTTTTGTGTGTTGGAGAGAGTGTGCCCAAACATGAGTATGTACACCCAACGTACACAGACTCACTAGAGTTTGTGGGTACCTAAATTGGGAATGCACAAAAGTTTGTGGATTTCACAAATATGACTCTGGATTTGTATTTAGTTTCAGCTGAGAATTCAGGGCTTCCATTTAGTATTTGACAAATCTGAAAGAGATGCAGTCGTCATAACCCCAATCAGAATCTGTGCATGTTTTTCTGTCTCTTATGTGGACATAATACTTCAGTTAAGAGTAAGATTTTAAAACTTTTTCAAGAGAATCTCTCTCAGCTCCCCTCTTGCACAGCTCATTTTACAGACAGCTATACATATTTTATAGGTTCCTTTTCATCAGTAGCATGGTACTCTGGATAGTCTTGTCAGGGTAACATCTGGTGAGCTTTGTTCAGTACCTGCACAATTCACTGCATAACTGAGTGCAGTAGTCACTCAGATGGACTTTGTTAATGAAAGCTGCAAGAGTTTCCTTCTACATGAACAGGCAGCCCTCAGGTCCTCTCCTTTCACTGGGCCCGAGGACACCAGGCACCATTCGAGCAACAAGGAATTGCACACGCTCAAGCACATGCACTGCTCCACACACAACGGACACGACTTTGAGTGACACTGCAATAGAGGAGAATGCGATTGACTGCTGCTAAAACCATGGGCTTACTATTTGGAGGTGTGACAAACCCCATCTCCAGGTGATTTCAGTTACAGTTGTGCGTGCTTGGCAGCCCTGGAAAATTGGCCTGAAAAAGAGGCCTAGCTTTTATCTCCTGGGGTATCATGACTTCCTGCAATAAGGTGGACTTTAGAGCTGTGGTAGTATAACCCATTGGCAGCATTCCTGGTACTTTGGAATACCCACAGGAGCGGGGCATCAACTGTTGTTACCAGCTATTTCTCAAGCTCTCTTGGTCCAAGCTCAGCCACGGTAACAGCAAGTGGAGCTCCCAGTGACATCATTTATAGTATGATCACTTGAAACGTGAAGAACAAAAGGGAACATAAACCAGCTTTGATGCTCATAGTACCTTTTTAGTTCTCCTCTGATAGGCAAAGGCGATATCCTGCCTCTGTTCATTGCTGCGGTTCGTCAAGATGTTGAGGATGGTGAGCTCATCCACACCTACAAAGACACAAGGCAAAGGTTGCTGAGGAATCCCTTCTTAATAACTAAAACAGCACGTGGCTAGGAGTGCAGTGTAGGCCACACCCACAGTCGGCTTCATTACTAGCAACCATGTCCTGCCACCACAGTAAGTGCAGCCAATGTCAGCACCAGTTTTCAGAACAAGTGCAAATGCCTCTGTGCACAGACTTAGAAACTAAGGCATGAGCTTGCTTGAAAAACTGGCCCTGGAATGCAGAGGTGATGTGCTACTTCTGCCTCCCAATTGACTAAGTGTGTGTCACTTGGGCACCAGCTAGGAAAGGCGTATGAGAGTAATTCCTGTAGAAGTGATGTGACATGCAATTAGCGACAGCCTGCTGACAGTTTCAATTGAGCAATTTCAATTAGGATTCTTAATAAAGCAGTTATTTTTCCAGTTCACCACTGAGCACTTCACTTATATTCCAAACACTGTGATTAGAAGAAAGGCCCTTTCTTCAGCAGCCCACAGGCTCACAAGGCCAAGGCCCGGTATGTCTACACTGCAACGTAAGCCCAGGATCCAACTGAGGCTCAAGTCTAATGCCCCTTCCACCTAAATACAAATCACGCTAATCCATGGCTTGGATTCAGGGACCCAGCCCCTACAGGGGTAAAGGGTCTGAGCCAAGTTAAGTTGGGACCCAGAATTCAAGCCCTATTTCTTTGCAGTGTAGTTAGGGAGGGCCCCAGAACCCTGTCTCAAGACCACACCCAAAAGCTTACCCCTCTGTTAAACAGCACCATTACCAAGACCAGCAAGTACGAGTCAGCTGATAGAGTTTAACTGCACTATTGACATGCCCTGGAAGTCCCCCAGAAGCACCCTAACATCCCATGGGCTGATTGTCTTTGCCCACTAGAAAGTCAAGTTTTCCCACACTGCACCACAAACAAAGGGCAAGAGCAGCCACATGTTGTGAAGGCACTTGGGAGTCCGGGATGTGGCTGGCTGGATCAGGCCCACATAATGCAGATGAGGGCGCTAGAGCCCCAAGCTGGGACCCAGGATTCAACAATTCCAAACCTGGAGTTACAAATGAGTGCAAACACTCAAGTCCTAGGTCAGGGGTCTCCAACCTTTTTATGCTTGAGATCACTTTCTGAAACCCAAATACCCTGCACCGCCTCCTTTGTGCCCTTTCTCGAGACCCCGCCCCTGCTCACTCCCTCCTCCCTCCCACTAGGCTGGGGCAGAGGGTTGGGATATAGGCTCTGGCCTTGGATTAAGAGATGTGGAATGTGAGGGGTTCCGAGCTGCAAGCAGTTGAGGTGTCGGAGGGGGTTCTAGGTGAAGGCTCTGGGAGGGCATTTAGATGCAGGGGTGCTCGGATCTAGGGCAGGGGCATAGGGTGTAAGAGGGAGTTTATGACTGGGATGGGGTTTCAGAATGTGGGTTCAACTGCTAGCCCTGCACCACTCCCACCAGCAAACTCCATCCCAAGTTCTGTTGTGTCCCCTCTCCGCTCTGTGGAGATAGGATACAGGGTGGGAGAGGGCACCTTGACATCAGCACCCCTCCTCTCCCTCGCCTGCCTTGCACAGAAAGCAAGAGGCTCTCAGAGGAAGGAACAGTTCCAAGGCAAAGTGCAGGAGATGGGCAGCAGTGGAGGGAGGGGTAGCTGAAGAACCGGCACGTGATAGCCTCTTGGCCAAACCAGTCAGGATCACCTGTCCAAGGCTCCAAGATCTACCAGTAGATCCCGATCTACTGTTTGGTGACCGCTGCTCTAGGTTAATAAGCTGTCTATGAAATTCTCTCATATACATCCTAGTCAATGGAATTATTTGCCACAGGTCTCTTGGACTCTAATGGGTTTAGGATTAGGTCCGTAACACTTCCCCTAAACATCTGGATAAGAGAAATAGGAAAGCTGAGCTGCAGTTAACCTCATTCACCAAGGGCTAGGTAGTGTTACTGCACCAACACAGGCTTTTACCTTGCCAATCAATAGGATTTTAATAATCAATGTGTTCAAGAGGTGTCTTAGAGCTTTCCGGGATTAACTCTCTGAATATTCATTTTACCAAAAGAAAACCAAATCAGTATTTACATTCCAGCAAATAAGCACAAACTTTGTCCTAACTAATTTTTTGGTAGATCTCTTCATGGAAAGATGAAGATGCCTGAATGCATAGACACAACACCTCGTCAGGAGAAAAGAAACAATTGTTTAAAAAAAATTAGCCACAAGTCATCAAAAATAAAAAAGAAATAAACACATGATTGTTAACAAAAAGCACTGCCATTGCCAGGGAACAAGGGGTTAAACAGATGTGCATGGAAAAAAGTTGGTGCAGCCACACTTTTGATGCTAAGTGGATCTGAACTGATGTGTAGAGGTTAGATTAGTTCAAGGCACTCTGATCCAATAAGGTAGGCGGTCAAATTTTCATAAGGCCTGGGGTAAAGATATATTGTTGTTTAAGTGAAACCTTGTTTTCAATTCAGAATCTTGCTGCTTCAAATTTAATTTTCACACTCCACCTACATTTAATAAGAACAGCTGGTTTATAGAGGAGAAATAATATCTATTCCAACCTGTATTAAACTGCATGAAGCAGAAAACATTTAGCAATCTACCCCCAAATTTCTAACACCCATTAATTGTGTCCCTAATATTACAATTCAGTTGAAAGTTAGCCCCTAGATAAACTGTCCATTTATATCAGATGTACAGTACTGAATCAGTATAGCTGTCTGGACCTGTCACTCAAAGACAGAAGCAGAATATTACAGTTATAGGAAATATCTAGATACCAATTTCTTCCAGAAAATAGTAGCATCGAATGTACAGGGCCAAAGAGTTAAAAAAAAAAAAGAGTGTCAAAAAGGTGCTCACGGTGTTATTGTTCTATCAGGCTAAAGTTTTCATTTGATAGCATTCCAGTGGCTGATTACGCATTCCTAGTTGTGGATGTAAAGAGGCCTTTTTTAGCTTTATTCTCTGATTCAGAGGCTTGGGCTTTATGAGTTTTATACGGAGAATCCAATTTTAAAACCTATGTGTCTAAAATTGGGGCATAGTTCTGTATTTGGACACTCAGATCAGATCTGTGATATGTAAAATAGGTACAGGTCCAACTTCTCTAAGCTGGGACTCTATGGTCCAGCAACATCTGTGATTCGGATATTCCAGGACCAGAGTGTCCCAGTGAAGGGCTGGTGGCTGGGAGCCCAGCGGGGCTAGGAGCCCGGCAGAGCCAGGAGCTTGACAGCAGGGCTGCTCGACGGGATTAGCAATGGGGGAGAATTGGCTGGGAGGCTGGTGGCCGGGCCAAGGCTGGGAGGGGTGGGGGGCAGTGGCAGGGGGCCCAGAAATTTCTTCCCCTGGTTCAGTAAAATCCCTCACATGGGATTGGTCAGGTCCCAAGAGTGCCAGACCAGGGAGGTCCAACCTGTATTTACTGGGAGTTGTGTGCCAATCTGAGAGCCCATATTCAGAATTGGGTTCTTCTCACTTAGATGCCAGATCTGAAATGCTCAGTTTTCCAAAGGAGTATTGCAAATAGCTTCCTGCATATTATAGTGTGTGCAATGATGTCTGTAATATCGTTAGAAGACAACAGAACAGAATTGTAGTTACATACAGAACACACCCAATCTCTGGAAAGTCTAGCTGTTTAACAGTCACTCTGAGTGTTCTCTGAGAATTACTGACCCAGTAAATGCCCACGGAGATTAACCATCTGACACACGGGGAAAGCTGGAGAATATAAAATTACACAAATGCTGCTGTCTACAAAAGACAATTAAGGGAAACTTTTACAAGCCAAAACTAATGGAGCGCTTTCCTTATGTTGGCTTTTCGCCTGCTTCCATTGTTTTACTTTTTAAAATTACACTAAAACACCCATGATGTTTCTTGGGAATCCTGCACCTAGCTTGTTTCCTCATAGCATAGCTGTAACTTAACAACACTACAAAGTGCTTGCCTGTACCTTGAATGCAACTCCCTTATCTTTAAGAATTGCTATTTCCTCTCATTTCAGGATTCACAAGGAGACAGATTCTTCTGGAAAAACAGGTAGCATGAGAGTTTCCACACTTCACACACCACTCCATTTCCAGTCTCACTTGAAGGATGACAAAGACAAGGCCCATCACTGCTTAACTCTCATTGCTGACTTCTGCTGCTCCACCAGCCAACTCCCTAGACTCTCTGTTCTGTACCGGTGGGAGATATCCTGCAGAAAGGCAGCTGCCTTTTCATTTCTGATTCCTGCACTCACCAAAATCCATGATGCTCATGACATGTCAACTCCCGCTAGATTAGAATTACAGTTCCAGAATGCCAAGGTGGGTAAGGAAATGGCTCAAAAGCTGGCTTCTCTCACTAGCAGGAGTGGGTCTAATAAGAGATCTCACCTTCCCCTACTTGGTCTCTCTTGTAGCTGTGTTGGTCCCAGGATATAAGGACACAGCATCATTCCTGAAAGCATTAACTGATGACCTAACAAAAGAGCTCTTTGAGTGAAAAGAAAGCTCCATACTCTACACTCCACTTATCCTGCTTGGTGCAGTAATTCAAACTGATAAACATGTTTATTCTGCGCCTACCAGGTCCCATAGAAAAATGATATGGTCACAGTTAGGTAATTCAGCCTTGATTCTACAATGAAATCCACAAACTCCATTCCTTACTCACAAGTGGAGAAACTTTTGCTTCAATAAGGCTGAAAGAGAGAGAGAGAGAGAGAGAGAGAGTTCATGGTTGCAAATCCCTTTGCAAGATCAGGGACATGAGTGTGGAAGGGGAGAAAGCAGCCCAAGAACAAAAATCCCTGGAGAGTTATCCGTTTAAGATTCAACGTCCAAGTGAGACAGGGTACAGCACTTTCCCAGCAGCCTGCCATTTAAGGTGAGGTTTAGCAAACTGCCCGGCATCAAGTTCAGCCATACTGGCTTCTTGGTTTGGCACATGTGGACAGTTGTGGGCAAGTTCTTTTCAGCTCCTTTTCAGCTCTCCACCTTT